ATGCATTTTCAGCCAGAATATTGCATAGGTGATTTTTGTGTTAAGGGTATCACATCTGGAGGCACATGCTGTTCATCTGCCCCTCTTTGGTGATGTTAATTTTGATCATCAGGTCAAGGTGTTGCCTGATTTGTCCCTGCCAATAATTTAATGCCAGTTATTATGTCAGCTGTGCCCTGTCTTTTCAGTCTTGCTTAATTGAAAGTCTTCATTTAGGTGATTTGACTGCTAGAGTCTGAATATACTGATTGAGTCAGATTAGCTAGTGATAATTTTTACGAGCCCTCTATGAGTTATGGAAATAGATGTAGTAGAGCCTAAACTTACAAATTGAAACTAAAATAGGGGAAGAATACTCAGTCTAAATTTGAGAAAGAATTAAATCATAATTTTTTTAAGCTTAACTATTTCAAATATTAGTACGTTCACTAGTCTTATTGAGATAAAATTGTTGCTAAGTTTACAGTATTGTTAGTATTACAGTATTATTTGGACCTCTCTAATGATTAGAGCTGTTTAACAAGGTATTATTTATAATCATGTATGTATTAAACTGGCTCATAGATGATGGGAAAAAAGCCCTTCAGCTAAGCGCTTGTCAGAATGATACATAACTAGTTTGTTTACTTTTAGGGTTTAATATGTCCAAATGTTAACTTTACTAACAAAATGTATAAATTATTTTAAGAACTGAGGAACTTTTGAGAGTCTCTCTTCAGCAACATTAGTGTTTGTCTTTTTTGTTTTAGATAGACTATAGCAATACCTATAAGACTGTCAAAACCCAGAGCTGCATTCACCTTCTCAGTGAGGCTCATCTGTTAGTGCGAGCTGCCCTGATGGATGCCAGTCAGCTAGAACCTGGAGAGAAGGCAGAGCTTTTGGAAGCATTTAAGGAAAGCTGTGGGCACCTTGGGGACTGTTACAGCAGGTGGGTGACACCTCTTGAAACCTTGTTACAGAAGCCATCTTGAACTTTGGGTGCACTTGTTAGCTTTTCCATCTCTGGTAGTTACCTGATAAATGGGGAGGTGGTTCATTTATTCACTTCTTCCACAAGCATTTATTGAGCACATACTCTGTTAGATACTGTGCTAGGCTTCAACATACAAAAATGAATGTGACCCATTTCCTGCTCTCAAGGAGTCACAGTTTAGAAGATGAGCAGTAAGTCTCAAGTTTGTGATTTTCCCACTGTTTAACTTAGGGCTTTGACATTTTTCTCAGGCTTTGAAAATCCCTGACATAGCTGTATGACTAGTTTATTGTCTGTAGCTTAAGGGAGAGCTGCCAGTTGGACAGTCTATGATTTTGATCTTAGTAGTCAGTGCTTTTATGATGTCAGAAAGGGACACTAGTATGAATAGTGTTTTTGTTTTTGAGAGTAATGTTTACACATTGTTTTGCATATGATTGTTTTTGACTTACTTGATCCACATGAATGGTTAAAAATTAATAAAACAGACTTTTCCTCCTATAAACACCGTTATTTTAGAGTCTGATCATGAATATTAGAATTAACTTAAATTGTTGTTTTTGTTTCTATTATGAGCAGGCAAAAAGAAACTGCATTAATTAGAAGTTTGTAAAATAAAACTTAGGAGTTTGTTTTAGTTACTAATGGCAGTAGAAAAGTATTTTGGAATTTATATCTTCTGGAAAGCATGATATATTCTATTATAGAATGTGTTAGATATCCAGGTTTAAAAATCACAAATTTGACTAGGCATGGTGGCTCACACCTGGAATCCCAGCACTTTGGGAGGCTGAGGTGGGATGATCACTTGAGGTCAGGAGTTTGAGATCAGTCTAGGCAACATAGTGAGAGACCCTGTCTTTAAAAAAATGACAAATTTCAGGTTTTTTATTTCCTTCCCTTTAGGCTTGACTCCCAGCATTCGCATCTCACCTTGCCATACTATAAGATGTCTGGTTTGTCTATGGCTGAAGTTCTGGCCCGCATGGACTGGACAGTAGAGGATGGATTACAGAAATACGAGAGGGGATTAATCTTTTACATTAATCATTCACTTTATGAAAACCTGGATGAAGAATTAAGTGAAGTGATTATAGTTTTCTGTTTTATATCTAATATTGTTAACTTTTCATTTTAGTGGTTTATTTTATGTAGTACTGTTTAGAAGTCAGGTTCCAAATATTTTTTTCTTTGATATTCTTTTTCTAAAAAATTCATGTGCCATTTTCTTCATTAATGAAGATAGAATGATAGCTTGGAAAAGAACTTATGGGTAATCGTCTCATACTTTCTCATTATACAGACAGGGACATGTGGTCTGTTGTAGTCTCAACACCTGCCAGTGACAGTAGCATGTCCTCAGAAGAGCTACACAGAATGCGGCCCTTGCCTTCCATCTTCTCATCTGTAGTCCTTCCCGCCATCCCTTACTCCACGTGTCCAAAACTTCACTTACAAAACTCTGACCTTAGGCCAGTGACCTTAAGACATTATTAGGGATTATTTTTAGGGCCAGGCACGTGGCTAGTATCTGTAATTCCAACACTTTGGGAAGTCGAGGTGAGAGGATTACTTGAGGCCAGAAGTTTGAGACCAGCCTAGGCAATATAGCAAGACCCCATCTCTACAGAAAATTAAAAAATTAGCTGGGCTTGATGGCATACATTAGTATGTAGTTCCAGCTACTCAGGAGGCTGAGGCAGGAGGATCGCTTGAGCCCAGGAGTTTGAGGCTGCAGTGAGCCACAATTACACCACTGCATTCCAGCACGGGCAATACGGAAAAACCCTGTCTTAGAGAGAGAAAAGAAGAGATAACCCCTCATGTATTTCATACATAGTTGGATGCAAATATGCCAAGTTAGAAATCGTGGTATCAAATGTTCTAAGGTTTTGAAATGAAATTTTCTCATACAGTTTACTTAATTGGGTATATTTTGAACTAAATAGTAGTTTTTATGATGGATTTTTATTATAATTCAATCAGATGTTTATTTTCTTCTTCTGAAGTGTTGAAATTAGAAATGCTGGTCATAACCTGGTACATATTTTCATTGTTTTTTCTTCATTATAATCAGCAAAGAGATCACTTCAGGTTATCTCAGGCCTCCCTTGTATTAGTATCAGTTTTGTCTGTTTAAAATTAGAACATAATACTATAGTTTTATCTTACTTGGAATGTTTGTGTCTTGGCTTTTTGCACATGTTTTGCTGATTTTGTTGCTTTCTTCTGACCGACTGACCTTTTATTCCTTTTATTCCTTGCTCACCAAAGGAATTAGCAGCAAAAGTGGTTCAGATGTTTTATGTGGCTGAGCCAAAGCAAGTGCCCCATATTCTCTGTAGTCCTTCTATGAAGAATATTAATCCTTTAACTGCCATGAGCTATCTAAGGAAGCTGGATACTTCTGGGTTTTCATCGATCTTAGTGACATTGACCAAGGCAGCAGTGGCTCTGAAAATGGGAGATCTTGACATGCACAGAAATGAAATGAAAAGCCATTCAGAGGTATGGAGCCCTGCCCAGTGCTAACAGAAGGCTGAAATAGGACCTGGTAATCCTGACGTGTTTAGCTGTCTTCTGGCTTCTTTCTAGCTCATATGTTCTTGGTTGTAATGGAAAACAGACAATGTTAGAAACAAAGTGATCCAAATGGGACTTCGAATCTGGCAAATGAAAAAGAAATAAGACTGATAAATTACAGCAGTGGATATCTAAAGACTTCAACTTAGTGTCAGGTGTGTTCAGAGCACTGAGCTTGTTACTGAAGAACTGGCTGTGCTCCAAGGGGATGATGTGATCTGGCATCAGGGATATGGTGTGTGCACTGGAAAAGAACAGAGTAATATGTATTTAAGAACAGCAAAGGGGCTATTAGCCATGGACTTTAGAAGTCTAGTAGTTGCATAAATAACCCCCACTTGGTAAAATCACAGATAACTTTATGGAGGATTGGACATTTGAATGTTGTACCAAGAAACACAGGCTTCCCCTTGGAAAAGAGGTCATTTAGGGACACTACCAAAGGTGTTAATCATTTAAGGGAAGAAAATAAGAGGTAGTGTAATTGAACACTTATTATTTACCAGCTCCTTGCATATATTATTTAATTCTTAATAATGCTATAAGGTAGGAGTATTATACAAATGAGGGAATTAAGTATTATACAAATGAGGGAATTAAGACACAGAGAGGTTAAGTAACTCATCAGGATCACATAGCTGTTAAGTGGTAGAACCAGAATTGAACGGGGCAGCCTGACTTCAGAACCTGTGCTCCTGCACTGTTTTCCTGCCAGATTGTGGCCAAAGCCCACAGTATGACTTGGGTTACTAAAAAAGGAAGAACGTAAGTGCTTTATCGCTGTACAAATGACATGCTTTGTTATGATGAGGAGAGCAAGTCAACATCGGGATGTCTTCTGTTTTGAAGAGTAGAATTCTAGAAAAATGACTTTTCATAATTTTGAAAAAACTTAAGATATATTAGTCGTCGCTTGGTATTTATGGGAGATTGGTTTCAGAACCTTCTACAGTTACCAAAATCCACAGAAGCTAAAGTTGCTTATATAAAGTGGCATAGTATTTGCATATAACCTATCTACTTTCTCCAATATACTTCAGATCATCTCTATTGCTTATAATACCTAATATAATGTCAACTGCTATGTACACAGTTGTTAATACTGAATTATTTAGGGAATAATAATTTAAAAATCTGTACATGTTCAGAACAGAGGCAGTCCCCCCACCCCCGCCGCCGTTTTTTGGGGTTTTTTGTTTGTTTGTTTGTTTGTTTTTGAGACAGAGCCTCATTCTGTGGCCCAGGCTGGAGTGCAGTGGTGCAATCTCAGCTTACTGCAACCTCCACCTCCTGGGTTCAAGTGATTCTCCTGCCTCAGCCTCCCAAGTAGCTGGGATTACAGGTGTGCACCACTGTGCTTGGCTAATTTTTGTATTTTTAGTAGAGACGGGGTTTTACCATGTTGGCCAGGGTGGTCTTGAACTCCTGATCTCAAGTGATCTGGCCTCCTTGACCTTCCAAAGTGCTGGGATTACAGGCATGAGTTACTGTGTTCAGCCATCCCGAATATTTTTGATCTGTGGTTGGTTGAATCCTTGGATGTGAAACCCATGGATACAGAAAATTGACTGCATTTTCAAATCAAGTAGAGCTAAATATAAAGCTCTCTACAAAAAATAGGACATCTTGATGCTTAGTGAAATGTTAGTAACTTCTGTGAGACAGTCAGTGGTGTCCTTCTTTGGGTAAGAACTAGCCTTTATAGTCAAAGAAAACATTGTGATTAAATTATTAATAGCTTAACCATGCATTGTGAATTCACTAGCATGTTTAGTATTTCTAAGGTGGACAATCTAAATACAATGTACCTTTTGTTCCTAAATTTCTTTCTTATCTGAAGATGAAGTTGGTATGTGGCTTCATTCTGGAACCTCGACTGTTGATTCAACAGAGAAAGGGACAGATTGTTCCAACTGAGCTTGCATTTCACTTGAAGGAGACTCAGCCTGGATTGCTTGTGGCTTCAGTTCTGGGCTTGCAGAAGAACAACAAAATTGGAATTGAAGAAGCAGATTCCTTTTTTAAGGTTTGTCACTTTGAAAATGTGATTTTTCTGGATGGCCTCATTAAATTGGTGGTGGGGAGGGACAGAATAAGAGAAGTGAGTTTTTCATTTGTTTATTGAAAAAACATACATACATAATCAGTTATAAAAGTACTAATTAAAAGATTATATCTGAAGAAACTTTATTTGTACAACCTAGAATCTGTTTCCTTTAAAAAAAGTCTAAATTTTCTTTCGCCATGGCACTAATGCTAATGGTAAATTATTAATTGCATGGCCCATGTGATGCTTTGATATTCAGCCCAGCTGTCGCTTTATCAGTGCTATATTTATCTGGAATATAGAGGCTTCTTTTACTGTTTTCAAGATGCTTTGTGCTAAGGATGAAGATACAACTCCTCAGCTCTTGGTAGACTTTTGGGAAGCTCAGCTAGTGGCATGTCTTCCAGATGTGGTACTTCAGGAACTCTTTTTCAAGCTCACATCCCAGTACATCTGGAGATTGTCTAAGAGGCAGCCTCCTGACACCACACCATTGCGAACGTCGGAGGATCTGGTAAGATAATGGAATAATACCTTAAATTTAACCTATGCATTGCCCATTACAAAAACATACCTTCTTATTTTTTATAATTTATTGTAAAATATAACCTAGTTTTCTATTACCAGGTATCTTATTTACGCAGGAGTTAAAAATACACTTAAAATTTGTCTATAACTGAAGTGGCCTACATTTTAAATAATTTTGTACTCTGAATGTCCTCCACTTATTAATTTCCCTCACTTACTTGAAGTGGTAGCTCAGTTGCCAAAGCATGGAGAAAAGGACTTCTTCCAGAACATCACATCTGTCCTTCCTCAGCGGAGGATCATTAAATAGAACATAAGAGAGAAGACATCTGCAGACCTCATTGGTGGGAGAGGAACTGCAGAAGGCTGTGGGAGGGAGACTTCCTTAGTGGGCCCCCATTTCCTGTCTGTTTCACATAAAGGAGCTGTTCTGTAGCACTTGAGGCAGCCAGTAATAACTCTTTCTACCCTTCTTGCTACCCTTCTTGCTCCCAGCCCATTTCTCTCACAGCTCATTAGCCATGGCTAATGGAGGGCTAAGTGGAAAAGTTACCAGCTTCTTGAATAAGCAGGGCTTCTTGGGAATTGTCTTGAGAATTTATGAAAGATATTTTGCCTTCTAAAGAAAGTAGTATTAATAAAAATTATTTCCAATATTCTTGTTAGGTATAATTGGCTTAAATGCAGTATTGTTCTTTTGCTAGAAAGTGCGTCTTTGGAGTATTTACATTTTAAAGTATATGGAAATATTTAGTGTAGAAGCAAGCAAGACTGAAATATTTTCCAGGGGAATACATTCTTAAAAACTGTCCTTCCCATTCCCAGGAAAGTGTATACCTAATTCTATGACATGGCAGAGAATTAATGATTGCTTGCTCTTCGTGGAATGGATAAGCAAGCTTTTGTTGTTATATTTTGTTTATGAGAAATTCTTTTATGTTTTAGATAAATGCCTGTAGTCATTATGGCTTAATTTATCCATGGGTTCACATCTTAATATCATCTGATTCATTAGCGGATAAAAATTATACAGAAGATCTTTCAAAATTACAGGTAAGTAAAAATACCTCCTTATGAAATTGCATATTACAATGTAGTGTAAGATTAAATTTGCTGAGACCCCAGGTGTCCTGTTAATCTAGAATGTAGAATTTTGAGGGGCAAAATCCATAGTTAGGCATACTCAGGACACTTGGAGGGAATTCCTGCCTGTGCCTGAAACTGCTGATGGATGGGACACCTGTGCTGAGTGGCTGGTTTCGTTGCAGGTGGATGGACAAACTTCACCAAGTCTCCTGGCTGATTTCCTCATTTTCAGGATGCACTTGAAAATACTTTGTGAAATGGAAGTGTGGCAAATGTTTAGTGGTGTTTTTATTGATGTAGTTTGTTTTTGTTAGTGTTGACTTACACATTTTAGGCCTCTCACCCAAGCCAGGCACTGCTATTTCTCTTATAAGAAACAGGTCAAAGTAGTCAGTTTATCCAGCTCCTGAAAAGGATTTTTCAGAAATGAGGGGGATGATTAGAGAATGTGGATCATCCTTTAATAATTCTGACTGCAGCAGTGTTTTGGCTGGCAGTGAGAATTAAAGTCCACATTTTTGGTGGATCAGGCTGGGCCACATGAGCATATGATTTTATTTAATGCAGTTTAGTGGCCCAAAGACCAATATAATTCCCACATCTGTTTTCTTTGGTCTTCCCAGTGTAGGCGCTAACATACAAAAATTAAGATTTCCTATTAAGAATTCTGAGTTTCAAGTCACTATTGAAAAATTTAGCAGCTCTGTTAACCCAAGGCCCTCATTGCTTCTGACCTGAGGGTTGGGACTGACCCGGAGCCTCTCCTTGGGCAGTGCTCACACTGTCCTCCCGCACAGTTATCATCTTTAGGGTATCCTGACCCAAATGCTGAGTGTCTGTTTTCCTTATGCCAGCTGCCCTTATGCATCTTCATCATTTGATTGGCCTCTTTAGGCTTTTGAATTTGCAATGCCTCATTTACACTATGGGAACTGATATAAATGTAGTTGTTACTTAGTATCAAATTGGGAATGGGGCTTAGAGGAGGGAAGCTGAAGAAGCCATATTGCTTAGACTCAGCCTTCAGGTGGGGCTGTGGTGTTCCCAGAGGCGGCATTATTTATGTGCTTCTTTAAAAAATAACAAAAGAAGATTCTTCTTGTCTCTTGTCTCTAGTACCATTGTGATACAAAGCCTTCTGAGGGCCTAGCCTCAGATTTTGTTCACCTCACAAATATTGCTTGAGCATGTGCTGTAGATGTTATGGGGAGCATTGGACAAGACAGTGGAACTTTGCCTTCCTAGAACATATACACTAATTACATATTTAAAATTGTAATTGGAATAAGTGCTATTAAATTTTCCTGATAAATCTTTAAAGCATATTTATAATCATTGCTTGAAAAAGTATAATTCAGTGATCTTTTAAAATTTGTTTCAAAATATATTTAAAGGAAAATCTTTGCTATTAAAGGAGGAAAATCTTTGCTATTAAATAGCAAAATCTTTGCTATTGAAGGAGAAACATAATCTGCCTAAACTTTTATAATTTTTTTTTTTTTTTTTTTTGAAGATACAGAGTCTCACTCTATTGCCCAGATTAGAGTGCAGTGGCAGTCGTGGCTCACTGTAACCTCGAACTCCTGGGCTCAAGCGATCCTTCCATCTCGGCTTCCCAAAGTTCTGGGATTACAGGTGTGAGCCACTGCACCTGGCCTTATTTTCAAACTTCCTGATTACATGGATAAAACTAAGTAAAAGTTCATGGGTAGTTGAAGTTATGACTAGTTTTATTTTAGTCATAATTTGGTACACATGCCTTGCTCCTTCGTACTGCCCCCACTCCCTTCCCCATTATCTGGATTAGTCAAGAGTTAAATAGAGAGATAATCTCTTTTCTTCCATGTTGGGAGACCCTTTGAGTGAGAGATTATCAACCTTATTTCATCTCTGCCATCTGATTGTCAGGAAATTATTCACATGAATAATTTATTAAACTTGCAGGAAGAAAAGGGACCGACCTTATTCTCCTGGTCATTCCTTGGTAGATATTTGGAATAAAATCATCACACTGACTGTGATTGGATAGATCACATTCCATATTCTCCTGTGAGCCTCAGAAGATGCTGTAGCAAAAAGGAGGCAGGGACAAGAAAATTAGGATATGACCATCTCATCTTTATCCTGGAGAAAGGGAAAATGGAGATTATTTTGGTGGTAGAATCAAAAGTAGTATATATAGTTTAATTGCTTAAAGTAAATGTTGGTAAAGTTGTAAATTCCGAGATAATACAGCCCGCTGTTATTCATCTTGTGACAAAGTGGTATTGATAACAGTGATTAGTTCTAAACAATCACTTTAGTCTTATTAAGTGTTAAATTGTATTTTTGCATATGTATGTAGCACATACTTATTATAGAAAATTTGGAAAATGGCAGGCAGGGATGTAAAGAAAATAAAGAGTAGGCTTTGTTGTCCCATCCTGTGTGCTGTTTCAAATTGCCATGCTCTTCTGACAGTATTTCTGTATGTGCATTTACCTATGTAGATTTTATAAAACTGATCATGTTCAGAATATAATTTCATTTTGAAATTTTTTTACTCATTTTATCATAAGCATTTTTTTATTAACTAGCCTTTGAAAACATAGTTTTGATGGCTGTGTAATGTTCCATTATCTGAGTGTGCCATATGTGTTTACTTATCCTTTGTTGTTAAACATGTAGATTATTTACAAATTTTCAATATTGTGAATACTCTTGCGGTGAACATCGTTGGACATAGATCTTTAACCACAATGTTGATTATTCCCTTAGGATAGAGTCCTGAAGAATGTCCATTGGTTTTAATTTGCAGTCCACATAAAGCAAATAAAATAATGTTATTTAACAATGATTGCTTTCTATTAAACAGATCTTTAAACTAGACGTAGTTTCAAGATTATACTTTACTTGGATTTAGTAAATAAGGACCACATGCATGTACTCTAATATGGCATTCTTTCTATTTTACTTTTGGCAAGTGAGTGTTTAGTCTTAAGAAACTAAATTCTGTATGTTGTGTTTTAGTTTTTGAGGTGCCTCATTTCATAACATTTCACTTTTCTGTTCATAGTCTCTTATATGTGGTCCTTCATTTGACATAGCTTCCATTATTCCGTTCTTGGAGCCGCTTTCAGAAGACACTATTGCCGGCCTTAGTGTCCATGTTCTGTGTCGTACACGCTTGAAAGAGTATGAACAGTGCATAGACATACTGTTAGAGAGATGCCCAGAGGCAGTCATTCCATATGCTAATCATGAACTGAAAGAAGAGAACCGGGTATGCTTTTTCAGATTATGTTTTTAGGCTTGATCAGTGATAATCAGATTTGATAACCTCATTTCCTTTCCTGCAAAATGGGGACAATTTATGCTAATCCAACCTCAGGGCTGTGTGGGTCCAGTGAGCATATATGTTAAATAATGTTATGTGTTTTGAGTACTATTAAATGCTGTTAAATATGTGAGATGGTACATTATCATCATTAAAAATCTTTTGTTTGAAGATGAAATAGTTGATTACCTGAAGATTTGGGAACAGTGTATGATGGGAAAATATTTTCTCTGCCATACGGTTTTTAGTTTAGAAATTAGAATAATTTTGGACCTTAGTTCTTTTTTTCTTCATTCCTTCCTTCTTGCCACATAAGAGATGATAATGGGATATGTGTGTTACTTCTTGAAAATAGCCATGTACATATGTACAACATATGTATTACTGAGTTTTCAAGTTACAAACCTGACTTTTATGTTATAGTTAAGGCAAAAGACTGGCTGCTGATATAACTTCTGTTATAACAAAGTTAGTTGCCTTAGACAAAATGATGTATTTTTGCCCTGTACTTTCCTGCACAATCTTCTTATTCTTGTTTGAAATCTGAGAATAAAATGCATCAAACTAAAATTTATTCATTTTTTCCTAAGATAGACTCTGTGGTGGAAAAAACTGCTACCTGAACTTTGTCGAAGAATTAAATGTGGTGGAGAGAAGTATCAGCTCTACCTGTCATCATTAAAAGGTAAAATGATTTTTTTTTTTTTTGCTTGATTATAAACTTAAAGAGTCTCAGTTTTAAATTTGGTGAAGCCGTCTTTCTCAAGTATTTTCATGTGATTCTCAAGTGAGACTGAGGGCCTTTCAGAACCGTCTGGGGAGCTTATTTTCAGCATTCACATACCCTCCCTTTGACATTTGATATTCATTTATCTCCTAGTCACAGAACTATGTTCTTTTAACTTAATCCTTTCAAACACTTAACAAATTATCACAGTCATAGAAAATGACAGCATCAATGTTTTAAAATGTGAGTAGTCATTAAGGCAATTACATCTTTTATCAATGATCAGAGTACTTAATTTACTTCATGTAGGAAGTTAAGATCGTTACTGTTAAACATAATTATAAGCAAGTATTCATGAATAACAACCTCAAGGATTTAAAAATTGAGTATCTAGATTGTACAGTATTTTATAGCATAGTAGTTATTGGAATTTTCATAATTCGTAATCATAAATCTTGATAGATACCTAATCCGTTTCTATACTGCTGTGCATTAATATAATTAGTTAATTGCTTTCCTGATGACAAAAGGTATGGGTGTATCGATTGCAGAGCACATAAAATATTAGAAATTGACAGTGTTGAAATTGTGTTTTCTAGCCAAGACAGTTGATTTTTAAAATGTAAGGCCGAGGCAGTGGCCATTGGAGATTATTTTTCTGAAGATCCCCCTTTAATTAAAGCTGTATGCTTGTGATTGGGAAGGGAAAGTGGTGACTTTATTCTCAGTCCTACCCATCTCCCTGATTGCTTTAGGTTTTCAGAAGATGGAAGTGTCAGGTGTCTGATTGCTTTGCCCTACTTGCATACCCTTTACATAATTTATCACTGACTGTTTGTGTTGGTGGAGCACTTTCCAGTACAGACATCCCGCATCTTTACATCTCAGCATCATCATTATCTTAATCAGAAGACTCTTCATCCTTTTCTGATCCACATCCACACACTCCACCCCAACTCACCCATAATCATTCCTCCAAATGTTGCATTTTTCTCTGTCTTCAGAATACATTTGTGTGCATACGTGTGTGTGTGTGTGTGTGTGTATTGCTAATGAGACTAAGTGCCATGTGTGATTTACCTTTATTAGACTGTAATACCTCAAGAGGTGGCATAGTGTTTTATTCATTTTTCATGGTTATACTTTCCTCACCAGCAATATGCCTCTCGTATAGGAAGCATTCTGTAACTGTTCATTGATTAGAAACAGAGACACCTAAAGAACTTTACGTTTGTTTCACAGAAGGGCATTTTCTTAACACTTGTACACTGAGAATAGCCCTGTATTGGGATCTGGAGAATTGGAACTGAGTTCTAGGTGTGCTGCTTAGAAGTGTCCTAGAGCAAGCCAGTTTTCTAGTGTCATGAGACTAAATGAGAAGTTCAGGACTGAATCAAAAGTTAAATGTTAGGCAAAATTGCAAGAGGGTGAGGCTGGAGATGGAGCTCAGGGACTTACATGCTTAGGAGTTTGGATTTCTTATCTCTGTAATACAGCATTTCTCAACCTTGGCACTGTTGACATTTTGGACGAGATAATTGTCCGTGTGCATGGGGGTTTCCCCTGTGCATTTTAGGATATTAACCAGTATCCCTGGTCTCTACTTATTAGATGTCAATACTACTGCCCCAGTTATAACAAGCAAAAATGTCTCCAGATGTTGCCAGATGTCCCCTGTGGGGCAAAATTTTCCTGGTTGACAGCTACCACACTAATGCAGAACCATTAAAACAGGGGTTAGTGGATTGGTTGTTTGTTTTAAGGAAATATTCAGTACTGTTTTTGTAATGAGCCATGTTTATTTTTTAAAATTCTGGTACTGTAGTAAATTACAAACATTAAATTTAAAAATAATTTAAAATCCACCATCGAGAAATAACTATTTTTAACCTTTGACAAATATTTTCTAGACATGCTGGAGAAAGATTTTAAGGGCACATGTTTACATTTAGATAGATCATTTATATGTAACTTGTAGATTTAGGTAGCTGGTGAGTGGAGTAGAGCAAGTAATTTTAACCTTCTCTTAACCTTAATTTTCCCAACTCTAAATCAGGGATAATACCCATTAGTTTACCCTGTTTGGGATGGGGCTTGGATGAAATAAATAAAAACCTCAAAGGATTCTAGAAGGAATTAAAGAGAAGTTATATATGAAAGTATTTTATTAATTTTTAAAGTACTCTATGAATTTAAGATATTGACCTTGTTCTTGGAGTGATAACCTGTATTATCCCCTCCTTATTTGGGAGAAGAGGAGAATTGGGAAGTGGTGATATTTTTGTTGACTCTGTAGCAACTCCACACTAGCTCTCCAACTTAATTTTTTTGTTTCTGAGATACTACTTACAGGTTCCACATTTAGGTAAGTAAACTGCTTTGATAGGAAAACATCAATAATTCATATTTTTCACATATATTTTGCAAGCTAGTTAGTAGTTGCTGTTTATTAAGGTCTGATTTTATGTCAGATGTGCATCATTGTATTTTAGCTGAATTTTCACAGGAACTGTGGAAGCTAGCAGACAGTACAACTACATTATAAATGAGGAACCTAGGACTTGGGAGATGAAGTGACTTTCTTAAAGCCACTCAGTGAGTAGGTGGAAGAGTCTGGATCTCTTCCCAAGTCTCTCTGGATTCCAGAACTAGGAGTCTTTTCTATAAACCATTGCTGCTTTATTCATTAACTATTTAGCAACAAAGGCAGTTCATTCTTTTGTGTAAAGAAAAATTTAGCTGGCTGCATATTGGACAGATGACTTTGGAATGGATCTTATATTTCACTTACTCTACAAATAGAGGAAGTGACGGGCATGCAACGATCACACAGGGAATGGCACTGACATGTGGATAGAAGATGTAAGACCAAGTGGATGTTTATTGGGAACATTGTTCATAACTTTCACCCTTCTATTCCAGGAGAGGGCAGCATGTATCTATTAAGAAGCAGGAGAATCATAAAGTTGCATTTTTTTTAATGTATGTTACATTCCTTAATATTAAAAATGTTCATTGGGGCTGGGCAAAGTGACTTATGCCTGTAATCCCAGCACTTTGGGAGGCCAAGGTGGGCAGATCATGAGGTCAAGAGACTGAGAGCATCCTGGCCAACATGGTGAAACCCCGTCTCTACTAAAAATACAAAAATTAACTGGGCGTGGTGGTGCACACCTTTAGTCCCAGCTACTCGGGAGGCTGAGGCAGGAGAATCTCTTGGACCCAGGAGCCAGAGGTTGCAGTGAGCTGAGCGTGCCACTGCACTGCAGCCTGGTGACAGAGCGAGACTCCATCTCAAAAAAAAAAAAAAAAAAAAAAAAAGTTCATTAGAACACTGTTGCAGTTTGGGGGAAAAGAAGTAAATGGTCGTGAAAACAGATTTGTGCTTATTAACAACGTGAAATGTTACAATAGGAACTAATTTGGGAAAACATTGGTGTTTCTTATCCTATCAAACAATCTTTATAAATTAGCTTTAGTATAGCCTTAGCATTAAAAAGAAGTATTTAAATGATTGTACTTTTCTTTAGAGGACAGTAGAAATCAATTGCAAAATAATATAGTAATTCAGCAATGAAATAATAAATCCAAATTTCATGTGGCTGATATAAAATAAACTTCAAAGGATTCTAATGAGGAAAAATAAGTTACAACCATAAAGAAGCCTATGGATTTAAGAGATTGATTTTTTTCTTTGAAGTTATAACATTTTGTTACCTGAACTAGCTTCTATTTTTTTTTTTTTCTCCCTGAGATGTAGTCTTGCTCTGTCACCCAGGCTGGAGTGCAGTGGCATGACCTCAGCTCACTGCAACTTCTGCCTCATGGGTTCAAGCGGTTCTCCTGCCTCAGCCTCCTCAGTAGCTAGGATTACAGGTTTGGATGCCTGGCTAATTTTTTTGTATTTTTAGTAGAGACAGGGTTTCACCATGTTGGCCAGGCTGGTCTCGAACTCCTGACCTCATGATCCGCCCACCTCGACCTCCCATGCTGGGATTACAGGCATGAGCCACCACGCCCAGCCTGAACTGGCTTCTAATTGGTTGGTTAAGTAAGAATAGATTGAATGAAAGACAGAGTTTCCGTTCTAATTCAGATATTCTTTTCTACAAACAGAAACATTGTCAATTATTGCTGTGGAACTAGAACTGAAGGATTTCATGAATGTTCTCCCAGAAGATGGTACTGCAGCATTTTTCTTGCCATATCTTCTCTATTGCAGTCGAAAGAAATCATTGACTTAAAGGTATCATTTGAAAAATACCATAATGGCATTTGAGACTGAATTTCTAAAAATTGAATGCCAAAGTACAAGTAGAGGAGTTTTTGACTTTATATATATCACACACACACACACATTTATGATGCAGATGTTTTCAGGCTGCTTACCTTACCATGTAGTGGTAACCATTCATTTCTTAACTTATGACCTCAATCAATTTAATTGTCTAGAATGTAAAAAGTGTTTAAGACATAAGAATTCCTCGGAGAAGCCATATATTTTTTAAGGTGGGGATTGACTTTTATTCCAAGGAACAACATCAGTTCGCTGCTGTTGGAGACATGACAATCATTTTCATCCCAAGAACACTTTAAGGAAACATTTTGCAAGTATGCTTGAAAGAATGTCACTAACTGGTCCAGAATTTTATCTTCTTGATTTTTCCAGATTTCTCTATGTTTTTGAGAAAGATGTTAATGTTTTGCCATGGTAAAAAATTTCAAACCTCATTTTTTTTGTTCCTTTTCTTGTTACTTTAAGAAAACTCATGCTCTGTTTCTCTGAATCAAATGAAGAAGTTTACAGAGCTAACTTTCTTCTTGTCTAGCTATTAACATTATTTGTCAAATGCATGTTTTTTTCAGCCAAAGCCTTGTTTCCATTTTTTGTTGATGTGTACGCTTGCTGTTTTAGCTAGAGTGTATGTGAAAATAAAGAAATATATCATTGTATTCACAACCATGTGTCTTTATTTATAATTTCTTGTTTAAAATTTTTTTAGTTCAAGTTTAGTTCATTGATATTATCCTCTGAATGCAGTTAAGGCTGGGCAAAAATTCTACTCACGTGACATCTGCCACAGGTGTATTTTGAAGCTTTTCTTCTAATGTCAATGTTTATCCTTACCAGGATTTGATCTATAGAATTGTCTCTCAACTCTGCTTTTCAGAGTTGGACATTCCAGATAACATCCTTTAGACCATCTCTTCAAGGGTTCACAAAACTCAGATTTGCGTCATTCTATTTTATTTATTTTATTTTTATTTCTTTCCCCCATACCTTACCCATTCCCTCTGAATATTAGGTGTCATGTCAATGGCATGTTAGAAGGATCAATGGGAAGGCAATGATTGAAAACATTTCAATGAACCTTAATAGTGTTCCTTTGAGGAGCACCCAGGAGAATATCTGGTCATAGATCTTTTTTTAAATGCAGTTTTATACAACCCTAATAGTGGTGATATGATTAGACTATATGAATCCATTTTATTACCTAATGTACAAGTGTCAGTCATGTATCATTATATAGTCTGTTGATCTTTCCATTTGCAAAAAATTAATAGTTTTCCCCCACAAATGCACAAAGTTGTATGTTTTCAGTCTCTTTTAATGTTTATAGTCATTCTAAAGTAACATTCTATTTTACACTTTCACATACATTGTTATGAATCATTGGTTTTTCTCTTTTTTCCACTTATCACCAATTTATTTCAGTCAGCCAGACTTGGTGTCTATAGAAAAAGAAATTTTAAGACCATTATTAAAAATAATATGGTTAAAAAATTAGTAGATGGTTCTTTAAATGTATTCTAATTTTTTAATGTTACTTTATTCCTGATTCATTTGTATTTTTCTATTTTTCATATGTTTAAAAATCTCTCATTCTATTGCTGCTTTATTTAAAGAAAGATTACTTTCCTCCCTACAAGATCTTTATTAATTGTAGAGGGAAAATGAATAACTTTACAATGGAGACACCTGGCAGACACCATCTTAACCAAAGCTTGAAGTTAACGAGTAATGGAACCGATCAATATCTTGTACCTCCTGATATGGTGTACTAGGAAAAACACAACATCATGCCATGATAGTCTTGCCAAAAGTACATAACCTAAATCTAATCATGAGGAAACATTAGATAAACTCAAATTGAAGGACATTCTACAAAGTTGCTGCCCTGTATTAAAAAAATATTCAGAGTAAGGGAGACTTAAAAGACATGCCAACAATGCAGTACATGATCCGGGATTTTCTTTTTCTATAAAGAATATGAGTAGGATTATTAGTGATGTTGGAAGAAGATCTCTGGTTTTTAAATCATTGTTACTTTTCTGATTTTGATCATTGTATTGTGGTCATGTACAAGAATATTCTTGTTTTTAGGAAAGATAGTTGTATGTATCTATACACGTCTGTGTGTGTACATACAGAGGGTGAGCATGAGAGGGAGACAGGAAAAAGAATGAGAAAGCCAATGTGGCCACACAAATCGTTAACATTCAGGGAATCTGGGTGAAAGGTATATGGGAATCTGAAATTATGTCAAAAAAAAAGTTTTAAAAGTTTCTCTTCATTGAATTAATATGTTGTTATATATTCAATAAGCAAACTATTGTATTGGATTTGGGTACTTAGCTAGAAATAAAGAATACATAGTCCCTGCCTATAAGAAATTTAAAGCTACGCAGACTTTTCTAAGACTCATAATTAATGTAAACTTGCTCAAAGCTTTATTGGACTTATTTAAAGATGATTCAGACTGATAAACTTAGCTACTGATTTTATGGGCCAAAGATAGTTCAAACTATCTTTTTTTATTCAGTCTGCTTCTTTCAGTCTCATGCAATACTTTTTCTCTTTGCAAAAGTCAAATTTCTCTTTAATTCTTTATCCAGTGTTGATTTTTCCTTCATATTTGCTATTTGTTCTGTAATTTGTCCTATAGCTTTATCTTGACTTTCTTAACCAAGCAGTAATCTCCCTCTTCTTTCACGGTTGTTACACAGGAGGAATCTTCTCTGTGGCTGTGTGTGTAGGGTTACCCTGTAGTACCATACTCTGCATGCCAGGCATTTGCACACATGAGTTCCCCAAATGCCTCCATGTTACTTACTCACCATTATTTTTCTGAGCAAGACCATCCTTTTGTGTGGTTTACATGCAACCACATGTAACCACATGGTTTACTAGTGTTATTTAAAGACTAAAGTTTTCTTTGTCATCATATTTGGCTCTCTTCACCTTGTTCAAGTTATTGGCATTAAATTTAGTGGCTTGTCTGTTAGAGTCTTTGATATTCTAGTGTTATCAGTGACTGCTCTAATAAAAAGGGCATTAATGTAAATAGTTTTTCATGATATAAGTTGTTAGTATAAGACCCAGGAGTAGAAATTAAAACTTTTCATTTACACTAAAGGTTAACCTTTCAGAGCTTTTTAAATCTTGAAATATATTTACATTTATATTTTCTTCATTTGTATGTTCCCTTTTTTCCCCATTTTAGGGAGGAAAGACATAGATTGGTTTTCTTTACATAATTTCCTCCTTTTGGGTTTACCATTTCCAATTACAACAGTCTTCAACTCGAAAGACCCAGGAAAGACCAAAACCTGCAGCCACAGTGCAGGAATCCTACAAAAAAAAACTGTTCATTTTTCTCCATTTTAAGTTGTGTGTGTGTGTGTGAGTGTGTGTGTGTACCTACACATGGGGAGGGTTATTGCAGGGGTTGGGGAGCAGTGCATGTAAATTTTGTTTCTTCCCTGGATCTTTCACAAACAATAATCAGTAAGGTTCCTCCTTTCCCTTGGAAGCACAGAAAGACACTGCCTATTTGAAATTATATTATTTGGGATTGTCTTGGGCTTCTTTTACGTGGAGGTGCCACCTAGAAAAAAAAATTGTTTTTTATTAAAAAAGAAATTAGATTTTAAATGTGTCTTATGTAAATAGTGGTTTGTTTCTTGGTAAACAACATGACTGCTCCCTTATATCAGCGTTAGGTATAATTACACATTTGTATTAACTTAGAAATGACTGGTGCTGTTACAAGCACTGGCTGTCAGGAAATGAGCAGTATCCCTCACCATTTAGCAGGAAAAAAACCTATTTGGAGGTAGAGAAGGAAGAAATCAGGGCAGCAGATTCACAAATGCTTCATATTGATGCTTCATATTGGGGGAAGTATTTAGGAAAGTAGTTCCTTTAATTATATCTTTTATATATGGCTTCTAGAATTACTACCTGGATATTCACCTTCATTTTGTAGAACCGTGTAAGTGGTTTCCATTCCAGCATGAATGTGGTCGGTCACATGGCAGTGGAGTAACCAGATTCCAGGTGCTCTTGGAAACATTTCTAGGGTTTGGTATGTTCCAGGGAAAATGTCAAAGACATCAGAACTATAAACGCCCCTGTGCTTAATTAGAAAAATGACAAATAATGTATAATATTGTATATGAGAGTTCACTCATGTCATTTGTTAATGGTCAGCTCAAGGATATTGAAAAAATGGATAAATCTGTTTTTAAAAAATTGAACTCGTTTCTGTGTTTAATACAAACGGTAAAATGTGGTTTTTATCTTCCTACTAAGTCTTTGATATCCATATCAAGTGGGTGTGAAGATGTGATGAGAATGAATTCATCAATCAGGACTACCCACAAACCTCCTATACCTTGATCCTGGTTTGCCTGTTTGTCATAGCACTTAAGCTACACAAAAGGACCTCAGCTGTGGCCCCATTTCAGCCCTAGCCTCACTTTTGCCGAATCTATCCTAGCTTGTCTGTGAAGCTTTAAGTCAAGGTAAATAATAAAGGAAGCAGAAAAGGAGGCTGATGAAAAAGACAAAAACCAGAGGCACTTCAGGGAGTCTCAACCGGAAACAATAGTTGGGTGCTAATAGTCTATTTCTACAAGGATAGAATTGAAAGCCCACTAAGAATACAGTATATCTATGTAAAACAAAATGCAGATAACAAAACAGGCTTTCTGCAGTATGCTTTTTGATAACTTCTGCATTTTCTAAATTAGCCCAAAGCATAAGGAAAAAGCATTTCCAGGAGGGCCACTGGCTTCTGCTGAAATCAGTACTGAGAAAGAACAGAAGTAAGACTGAGATGTACAGACCAAGTTGCTTGTCACCTAACTAATCTTGCTCACCTCGAACCATTTAAGATACAGAACTTAGAACAGGCAGGGAAAGGGTTATAATAAAGTCTTGTGGTCTCTACTCTCATCCATCATTATGTGAACATTCCTACCCTCTTTCTTAGCAATTCCACTCAGTTGCCTTAATCAGGAATCTGTGAGCAGAAAATTCAGTTAAAAATCCAAATCCCAGGAAGAGCTCAAGGTGTAACAAAGGCTGGTGTGTCCGTTGAAATTGCTGTGCCTTATATAGTCATCCCTCAGTATCCGTGGAGGATTGGTTTCAGGAATGCCCCCTTACCAAAGTCCATGGATGCTCAAATCCCTTATATCAAATGGCATTTTCCATATAACTTACGCACATCCTTCCATATACTTTAAATCATCTCTAGATTATTATAATACCTAATACAATGCCTACAAATCATTTCATTTCCATGGATTCAACATAGTACTCAGTGCAGCAAATTCAAGTTTTGCTTTTTGGAACTTTGCAGAATTATTTTTTCCTAAATATTTTCAATCCATGATTGAATCCTGGATGGGGAATCCACGGATATGAAGCACCAGCTATACTCTTTGCAGCTTTTAATTTTTCATAAGTCTCTCTGAGGAAATGTTTTCTTCACTTGCATTAAAACATTTTCAAACAGCAAAAGTAATTGCCGTGGATAGCTCTTACCTTGTATTGGAAACTATGGCCGTGAAAATGTACAGTGTGTAAGTCTATTTCATTGCCCATTCCCATCAGATACCAGTTGACTTCATCTCCCACGTGCATTGTGAGGCCTTGTAGGTTTCCAAACATTCTTCCATTAATAGCTAGGGAAAGCATATGGTTTTATGTTACTTTTCAGGATATTTTAAACCAATGGCTATTTCAAAGAAAATATGATTATTAGGTTAATGTAAAGAATCTTTTTTGATGTAATAGGACTTATTTTACTACAAATGAGGGAAATCGATACTTTAAAGTGAATAATATCATACACTGCTTTTCTAGGCACTTTGCACCAAAAGTCTTAATCTTAATTGTGGATTATTTCAAAGGAAATGAGATTTTGGAATCGGAAAATAAATTAGCAAATTATTTTGAGCATAATCCGCTCTTTGTTTTGAACAGAATTCTACCTCACATACAAAGTGAGGCAGAAGTGGTTTATTTTAAGACAAAACAAATGAATAGTCTCCAAAATAATTTTATTTGAAAGAGAAAATGATAAAAAAGTAGAAAAATTCTTTTAGAATAATGTAACATACCATGCATTTTATTGCTTTCTATGAATTCCTCATCATCTTTGTTTACTTTTTCGGGGTGATCAGAGTATGTTTTGATGTTGTCATCTAAGTACCAAGATTCATTCTCATCAAAAACTAGAAATAGAAGGGCAAATTCCAGTTTCTTTCTGGGATTGAATACTTTCAAGTAATGTCTTCGACAGACAATCAGGGGGCCAATTAATCCACTGTAGAGATCCTGGAAACAAGGAAAATCTTCAGTAACCCTTGTGATGTAGGTCAGGATTTCAGAGAACTACAGGATTCCTGAGAACTCCACGGCCTCAGGAATTTTGGAGAGACTGATTGAAGTAGACTTTGCCCAATGTGGTACTGCCAATTTAGTAACTTTTTACTTGAAGTAGTTAAATTGGAACAATGGTGAGTAGTAGGTAGGTCATGTGGTGATGCTGACATAACAGAATGTCTGCAGAGGCAAAAATTAACTCAGCTAATGAGCAGTGATTTTAAAAGAATCCCAAATGAACAGTGTTGGTTTGTTCTGTAAACTCATGAACTCTTGAGTTTGGGCCAAGCACTATGGCAGTCTCTAAAAAATTCATAGATGAATTAAATGTATAATAATAAATATACATTTATTAATAATAATAAATAGCACCACAAATACCAGATTTATTTATTAATAATAATAAATAGCACCACAAATACCAGATTTACTCATTTGTTTGAGCCAGAACTCTGAATTATCAAGGAGCTACTTCCCCCTGGCTCATTCAGGCACTTCACCCACCTATCTATAACTCACTCCGTTTCTTTTCTCCCTCCTCACAGTAGAGGTCCTTGAAATTTGCCTCATGTATTACAACGGCCTCCCAACCTCCCGTCTCTTCCCTCTCCAAGCCTTCCTTCATCCACCAGAATGAATGATCTGAAATGCAAATATACTGCCATCCTTTGTCAATTTTTCAGTGGTTACCTGTGACCCACAAGACAATATCGAAACTTCCCGAATATGATCTTGAAAGGCCTTTGAGCTGTATCATATTAGGAAATGTTAGATTTTTGTCTTGTGTGTCATAGGTAGCAGCATATTTGCTAAAGTAGATTGCAAAACAGCTTATTTTCCTAGAATTTTAACATATAATTGGACCACAGAAAAATGCTAACCTCATCTTCCTTCAATTGTGTGTCTATTTTGGGAAGTGTCACAAAACAGATGATTTACATTTTACCTTAACTTGATCCACAGTTGAATAGTAAGCCCATGGAATACAAGCAGAATCCTCTGTTCCAGCTCCAGATCTTTCTGGGATTTTCCATACGTAAGTGAGAGTTTCACCTAAATTCATCAAGTGTTAATGGATCTGGTTGTTTTGGTTTATATTACACACACACACGCGCACACGCACACATACACAGCCTGGATAACTAGGACTCAGGAACTGGAAATGTCAGTGTAATTAGTTTTTTAAAATTGTGGTACTCAAGATTCTTTTCAGGAATTTAGTTTTAAGACAAACTAAGACAACATTTCGTTATTTTTTGGGTTAATTATAAATTAGCTATAACCCACTTGCCATACCACAAAGCTAGGAGGTGCACTTCCAATATTACAATTTGAAAAAACTTTGCAACCAATCTCTTCTTAGCTTGAAGTATGTTTTCCTAACATACTTTTTTCTCTTCAGATACCAAGTGATTTTTCCCCAGTGGCTGGCACCTTTCCCGTAATCTTCTCTGCATGTGTGTATCTGGACTATGTTGTGTAATTCCCTCAGCTTCAGCATGGTCTTCCTTTCCTTGTCCTCTCTCATGATCATCCTTAGTGAGCTTATGATTCCTGGCGAGGAGCCATTAGACCTCTTGATCTCATGAGTCACCGACTTGCCACAGTTTTGTTTACCTCGCCTCCGGTCCCTCTAATTCGATCACACCATGGGCTGTTTTGTCACTACTCCCACATACAGGACATAACCACACCCTGGGCCTTGGCACTTTGAAGACGACTAGTTGCTTCACCCTCCTACTTTGCCAAGGCTCTTACCCTCTTCCCATGTGCTCTGGGCTTTTCTCCAGTCTGATCTGCGTTTCCAGTCACTTCAGGGCTTCCTGTGCAACTGCTCACAGACCTCGGCTTTTGGCCATGCCCACTCACCAATCCCAGCCACACTCATTTTCCATCCCATTTATTTAGACCACACCATTACATCTTCATGCTCTCACACTAACCTGCCAGAGTCTGATAGACATTCACTAGAGAATCAAGCAAGATGACAGAGATGGTCTCAAGTGATATGGTAGACATCTTACTTTTTCTTCAAGCCGCAATCTGAGCTGTTCCTACGTCCTCACCCTTTTTCTAAGCAGAAAATTTCACTAGAATATAAAGTATTGATTCACCACCTGCATATATTACTGTCTTGCCATCTCTGCTTTTACTTATTCTCATAAGCTGCAAAATAACATTCCCTTCTCTTTTCCACACCCCTTTACAACCTGTTCTTCTACCAGTGGTCAATGCCCAAAACTTTGGGATCATGCTTGACTCCTCTCTTCCCTAACACTCCCTAGTGCCCATTTTCCAGCAGGTCCTTTTAGCACCACCTTTAAAATAGAATCAGAATATGATAACATCTCACCACTTCAGCCACTTCCACCATGTTCCAAATCTCGATGATGATGATGATGATGATGATGATGATGATGATTTTACCCAGATTATTGCAATGGCCCTTAACTGACCCCAGATTCTGTCTTTGCCCCCTTATGGTCACTTAACCACACATCAGCCAGAACAGCCCCTTAAAAAGTGTCCATCAAAACATCAGTCTTAAATCTCGAGTCTGAGGTCCTCCCTACTCCATCTGGTCCCAGCTCTCCCTGGATCTCATCTCTAGCATTCTGTCCCTTGTGTGCTCTTCTCTATCCTCTGGTTGCCTTGCTGCTGCTCAAACACACCAGGCATGCTCCTATCTTCAGGGCCTAGAATCTCTTTGTGCACAATTACCTGAATTTCATTACTTCTCAATCTTTAGGTGTTTTCAACAATGCCACCTCCTCAAGGAAGCCCTCCTGACCACCCTACCTAAAAGAGCACCCTTGCTACTCCCTGGTAAGTTATTGAGAAATAGTCTTTTCCTGGAAGCCAATTTTATAACTAATAGAAGAAAAATATAGTTCTTGTTAAAGAAAATGCTCACCTATGTATATAATCTGTTTAAGATTTTACTCTGTTTATTAAAGAAACATTTGATGATCCCCTAATACATGCCAGATACTGGACTAGATAGGGGGAATTTAGAGTTCCACGTGGCAGCCTCTGGCCCTTAGAACCACATGTGCTGGAGGCAGGCGTGGGAACATCCAGCCACATGCGGTGTGGTAGGTGTCGTTTGAGCTGTGTTCTAGCTGAGCGAGGAGACAGCATCTCTCTGATTCACCCTTGAGGATTCATAGATGTCCACTACCTTCAGGTTTTTCTTTTAAGCTCTCCTGTGGACTTTTTTTTTTAGTATGAACGTGTGCATGTACTTGCATACACATGGACACCTCCTTGTATCCCCTCTTCACAACTACCTCCCTTTTCACTTTCTTGGTCCAGACTCTCTATGATGAGAGTAATCTGTGGAAAGGCTGTACACCCCTGTTAAAATGACAACCCCCCCGCCCCAACCCCACACCACAAGTACCTGGTAATGTTGGAATAACTGTAGAACTCTCTGTTTGTACCCCATGGGCATGTATTGAGTAGGGCCTTGTGGCCATGTTTTTAAAGATAATTTTGACTTTGTCTCCAACATCTGCATGAAGTTGTGGACCTGGCAAAAGTGAAAAGGAAAAGTGGCTTGTATATCTGTCCAAGCAGAAGGTCTAACTTAGTAATAAAAGCAAAGATCAGCAAAGATAACTTGTTTCTCTCCCCATGGGTTTGTGCTGTAATACTCCTGGATTTATACTGCATCCCAGGGAATTTGGAATCAACACACTGGAAATAAAGATGGAGACCATTTGTTTATCTCTTAAGAGTTCTAGGGGAGGTTTGGCCTGAAAGTCCTTTACAGCGTACTGGTCTAATCATGGTGGGTTGGATATCTGGCCAGGAGTCATTTTGCAGCCCTTGGTGTGGGGATACCCCTCCCATTTCTACCCTTTTATCAAATCTTAGCTTGTCTCTTGTCTGGTAGGATTTTTGTGCTCCAGGAACAATTCCATTTTGCCTTGGTGTCTTAGTGTCTTAGTGTAGGGGTTGAGGATAACCAAACCTCAGGGGAATGCTGACCGTATGGGAACACAGTGGGGTGGGGATAGGAGTGGGGATCCCTGCAATTGATAGTTTTAAAGAAATGTCTCAAGACCAGTGTTGCTCGAGTTCTAGACATTCTGTCTGAAAGTGAATCCTAAAAAATTGAAAGCAGCTTTTGCTCTGCTTTGTGCAGTGTGTGGTACCATTTTTTCTTTTCTTTATTTCCTATTGTAATTAATTTCCTTTTGTATATTTCTTCTTGTAATTAATCATTTATATTTTAATTTTAAAAATAAATAGCTATAATTTGCGAGAAATGGGTAGGATGATGGGGAGACTTTGGTTAAGAATTTCATTAGGGCCAGGTGTAGTGCCTCATGCCTGTAATCCCAGCACTTTGGGAGGCTGAGGTGGGTGGATCACTTGAGGCCTGGAGTTCGAGACCAGCGTGGCCAACATGGCAAAACCTCATTTCAACTAAAAATTAAAAAATTAGCCAGACGTGCTGACTCATCCCTGTAGTCTCAGCTACTTGGGAGGCTGAGGTGGGAGACTCACTTGAGCCCAGGAGCGGCAGGTTGCAGTGAGCTGAGATCACGCCACTGCACTCTGTCTTGGGCGACAGAGCGAGACTCTGTCAAAATACAGAATTTCATTAGAAAATAGTTTCTGGGAACTTCACTAAAACTACAGGCATCAATTTGATAAAAACAAAATATATATAATTTTATCAGTATATGGGATAATACATTGTTTCTAAGAGAAATAAGCAATATTTTAGTATGCCATGTTATTTAATAAACTTAGGTCTTATTTTATTAGATAACTAAGTTTTAAATTTTTATTTGAACAACTTTGATATATGAACCAAGAAAATGAAACCCATAGGTATGAATTGACTGTTACTGCAGGTAGCATCACATCATTAACCCACACCTAATAAACTGGAGCTATTAACATACCTAGAATTCCCAGATGTTCTTCTTCAGCTTTTCTCTCCACTGGAACACGGAACGTGTTATCAGTATACTGCCGATACACAACTTTCTTGTACTTCGAGCCTATGTAAAACTCTTCCTTATCTAAAAATGCATTTGAAACACTTAAAAAAAAAACAAAAAAACTAAGGTTAATATTTGTCTTAATGAAAATGTAACTTAAGTTTTAAACTTTAAATTTTGAATAAAAATATAGCTTTTATGAGAGTAATTATAGTAGTTTTTAATCATCACTCTTCTATCCAAGTAAGAAAGAATAATAAGACTTTAAAAGTATGTGTGGTAGAAGGCACACCTAGCCATTTGAGTGTAGTCATCTGAGTCCTGGCCTCTACCCTACCACTAGTGAAAATTTCCTCCAGCTAGTCACTGCCTATTGGATCCTCAGTTTTTTCGTCCCTAAAATGAGATATTCAAACAGATCATCTCTAAGATTACTTTATAACTCTAAAATTTTATGAGTCCGGTATTTCTGATTTATAGGAACTGAAATGGACATATTTTCCCAGGCATTCCCTTTTCCTGAAGTTTTCACTTCTAATGGCACCTGTAGCCTTTTAACCATTTTACCCAATTACAAAATAAATGTTTACTCCTTTACACTGCAAACCATACGCACTACTGCTGTGAAGCTAACCAGGTAACCACTGGTAGCCACAGGTCACCAGTTGTGCTATGCACCCTGGATCCGAACACCTGCCCACCCCGCAATCCCTCAGATCATCGCCGTGCGGTCAGTGCATGATGTAAGTGGGATGATGGAGAGGAAGGTGCTTGGAAAAGTATGAAGAAAGGGCTAACTAGAAGTGATGAGTGATGCTGCTCTAAATGAATGTTTCTGAAGCTCTATTAATCATCCTCTACTTACGTCTATTCATACAGAATTTATTTTGTACTTTTCCGTAATGCACATGTTACTGGTAATTTTGTGTCATATTTTCCTGTAAGTTTTTGGAGGGTAGAGACTATATCTGCTATATCACTTTTAAGCATTTAAAATATTCCATACATAACAGTTTTAAGAATGTGAAATGACTGTTAGACTAACAGTGAAAACTCTGAAGGAAAAATAAGCAACAAACTGTTGCTAAGGGGAATAATATTTTTGCTCTGAATTTGGGAATTAACTTTTGGTAAGTTTGAAAACAAATGACACGTGAGGGCACATGAATGTGAGAAGACACTGCAGCAGAAAAGAAAGCAAGACTCCAAAGGATCAAAGGAGGTAAATGGAAATGTTCCCTTGAGGAAATTGAGAGAAGCAGAAATGAATGAGGACAAGTTCCTAGGAAGTGTTTTGTTGTTGTTTTTGTTGTTATTGTTTAATGCAACTTTTTTTCTCTAAAATTTGGTGTAATTCTTACTTCTCTGAAAAGGAAACCTAAAATTACAGCTGAAATTGGGAATCAGAGTCTGGAGAATTACTTCCGCTCTTGTAAATGATGCAGCTCCTTCTCCCACTGCCTCTGTGGGGAGTAATCCCATTCCACCTCCACTGCTGCAATATAGTATGTCCTCTCTCCCAGGTAGAAGGTGGAATCCTCAGACTGCCGCCTGCATTGGTTCACAGTATATTTTTGCTTCATGCCGCCTGTGTAATGATCAGTTGTAAGGCATTCAACATTAAAAGTCCCTGGAGTGGTAAATAAGAAAACATGTCACTTCTTTGCTAGTGCCCTCTGGGGCTCTCCACCTTCCTCAGAATTAATGCTGAAGTCCTTATTGTGGCCTCAGTTAGGTGATCTAGCTTTCCACACCTCTGATTACATCCCCTCCTGCTCACCCTGCTCCATGCACCAAGGCCTTTTGCTGTTCTTAGGTCAAGTGTGTGCCTGCCTTGGGACCTTTGCACTTGCTGTTTCCTGTGCTGTCTCCCCAAAATATCCTCATGGTTCATGTCCTCATTTTATTCTGGTCTCTCCTTAAGTAGCACCTCCTGAGAGAATCTTGACCCTTTCCCCTCTCAGTCACCACCCACTTCCCCTGCCTTCTTTTTCTTTGTGTACTTATAATGACTTGACATACATGTATTAATATACTGGCTTGTCTGTCTCCCTGCATTAGAATTGCAGCAGCATAAGACATCTTATCTCTTTTGTTCACTGTTGTATTTACATTTGTTGAAGGAAGGAAAGGGTGACACTGGATTGGTCTGAAGTTTCAGTGGCATATCGTAAACCAAATAAAGCCTGAAACAAGCTAGCATATTTTCACATTTTGATTAAAATTCTTTCTCTTCTGTTTTAGTTTGTTTTACTCATTCAGAGCCAGGTCTATAGATGTCTCTGAATCTGCATGGCTACAATGCTAGAATAGAATATTCACTTGCAACCAACAAGCCTCTACTTACAGCCTACATCTAGGCTGCAGAGACATGAAAAGTTTAGGTGCAGAATATTTATGGGAGTCATTCCCCTTCTAGTCTGATTTTCCAGCTGTCTTTAAAAGGACCATAATCTAAAAAGGGATCATCTTGAGGAGCCTATGGAAATGGAGAAAACCACACCCTGTTCTTTTCTTACTCCGCATTCTCCTCAGTAACTACGAAACAGACCCATCTGGTACATACTTCAGCTGCTAGTAGCCTGGACTTGCTCTTTCAGAGATAGGAAGGGCACTTGGAAGGCTTGGGGAAGGAATACGTTTATCACCCAACACATTCTGCTACAGAATTTTAAACCAAAACTACACAAATTCATCTACTAGAGACTTGGCTTTAAATAAATATACCTTCCGTGTCAGGCCACATGAGGAGTGTAAGACTTGTTTGAGGGAAGAGGTTTACTGTGTCTCTCCGTTCTCCTCTCCACAGATATGTGTTTCCTGAAAAGTATATTCCATGTACATCGGCCTCATTTCCAACGCTGAATAAGTACCACACGACCGAATCTCCTTTGCACATATTGAGACCAGGCTGATTCCCATACATGAATCCATTCATGGCTGTGAAAGTTGGGAAGTAACATTTTGGAAGTGGTTTAGATTCTACTACATGACAACCTCACAGACTTTCTAGGATCAACTTTGTTTTTTTAATTTTTAATTTTTAAAAGGCCTATTCAGGCCTGCCCACGCTTTATGTGTCAGGAGTGTCCTTGCAACTCCTTGCCGTTCCTGGCACTTCCAGAGCAGACGCTGGCTGAAAGGACCAGAGCTGAATGCATAGTTCTTGAAGTTCTATGCTAGTGTCCCTAGCAACCTGGGAATCCCACTGCTCTTCCTGGCTAAAGCAATGATTGTGTCATTTCCAGTTCTTTAAGTGATTATATTTGTGAGCACCCAAATCTGCGAATTATAACAGCTTTTTCTGGGCACCATATACTGGGAGTGTGTTGCTGTTCTAGGTGAAAAAGTCTAATTCATCTTGAATAACAGGGAAGGTCATATGTAGGAGGTTTTTTTCTTTATCTTGCATATTTAATTATTTTTGATGAATAATATTCTCAGTGCTTCCAAATATACAAAAATGCAGAATCAAAAGGAGTATTTTAAAGGTTGTGGGTAGCGTGACTAGTACCTAGCTTGAAAATACCAGTTTTTAACACAACTTTACATGTTTTTCTTCTACTAGCTACAATAATTTTTACTGATGTCCATTAATGGTGTGGGCCTTTTGAATAATGAACTCACTGTCTCTGAGCTCTAACCACTTTTTAGAATTACACTAGGTATTAAAAAAATCTAATATTAGACTTAAATAAAAATCTCTGGGGGTATTCCAGGGCACTGGTCATTTTTTGAAAGCTCCCAGGTGATTCTAATGTGCAGTCAAGGGTTAGAATCATTGAGGGCTGAGATCATCTCTTTCTGCATATTGAATAATCAAATGAGCCTGTCATTATTGAGCCACACATGAGGAAAGCATCTGCTCCAGTAGTTTTCAAACTGTAGCGTTCATCAGAATCACCTGCAGAGTTTGTTGAAAATAGATTGCCGGGATCCATCTCCAAAGTTTCGGACTTTGTAGTTCAGGGTAGGGGTCCAAGAATTTGCATTTCTAATAAGTCCCTCAGCGATGCTGAGGCTGCTGATATAGGGACCACACTTTAAGGACCATTCATGTAATTGACATATCTTGAATTAAGTGAAATAATGACTAATTGACTGACACATCAAATAACCAATGAGATTACCTTCAGGACACTATTGTAATCATTTATTGAAAAATAATCAATGAGCAAAGCTCTTCACATTTTGGTTTAGTTAAAAGCATTACATATGCAGTACTAAAATAACTTGGTAGATTGGTGGATGATGCAGTACTTACAGTGCATTTTATTAGATTCCTGAAAGTCTTCATCTTCCTTATCCACCTGATCAGGTGCAGTTGTAAACATTCTAATATTATCTTCCAGGAGTAAACTCTCATTCTCATCAAATACTGTAGGAAACAAGTAGAACTCCTTGTCTACATCTTTCTGTAAATCAAAACAAAATGAGATGAAGATGGAATGAGTAAAACAGAAGGCTTCCATGTGCACAATACTATTTGTGCACAAACACGCCTAAGGGAAGGAATGAGAACAGAAGTTTCTGTTACTCTTTGTAAACTAGGGTTCATGAAATATTTCAGTTCACCTCCAGAGCTTTCTTTGGTATCTGTTTAGTGGATTCGTGGTTCAATATAGTAATCTGAGCCTCTCTCTGCATCTAAAGGTTCTAACTCTGCCTTCCTGCTCATATTGCACATACCAATTGAAGCCACCAGAGGAAAAAAAAAATGTTAAAATAGGAGAGAATATGGGTCTGTGCTGGAAATCAGGGAAGATGCCATCCACATTCATGAAAACCAGAAGAATTTCTGTAAGGCGGAGCAGGATGGAAGCAGATTTGAGGAAGAAATCATCCTGGATGAAGAAATAACCTCCCAATGAATTCCAACAGAGATTCAAACAATCTCCAGCCAGCTCTTCAAACATCATCACCTCCTCCCACTTCTCCCAGTGGAAAAAAAAAAAAAAGCAGAAATGCTATGTGTTCTTTGAAATTATTCAGTAGTTCAGAAGAAGGCAGTCAAAGGAATCAAAGCAAATGAGCCCCTGACAATAAGTGACTCTCAAAGGAGAGAATAAAGATTATTGCCTGTCTTTCCCTTGAGATCAGTCCTTCAGATACATGATAAGATGATTATCAAATTGAAAAAATCGAACTAAAGCAAAGACCTGAAGGTTAGATCCTGCATAGAACTGAATCAATGATGAAGGTGATCTAAAGAAAGCTCCCATTAGCTGGGCGCGGTGGCTCACGCCTGTAATCCCAGCACTCTGGGAGGCCGAGGCAGGCGGATCACGCAGTGAGGAGATCAAGACCATCCTGGCTAACACGGTGAAGCCCCATCTCTACTAAAAATACAAAAAATTAGCCAGGCGTGGTGGCGGGCCCCTGTAGTCCTGGCTGCTCGGGAGGCTGAGGCAGGAGAATGGCCTGAACCCAGGAGGCGGAGCTTGCAGTGAGCCGAGATCGCGCCACTGCACTCCAGCCTGGGCAACAGAGCGAGACTCCCGTCTCAAAAAAAAAGAGAAAGCTCCCATGAAATAGAGGAGAGCATTTGAAGATGAAAAATATACACATTGTAATAATTTTAGACGTTATAAAAGGAGGAGGCACAATCGTAAGAAATACTAGTAGAAGTGTTTGCCACCACAAAGGGAAAAGACTAGAGGATTCAGATTCAAAAGCCTCCTCAAAACAAGACAAAATTAGTAATAGAGATCTATACCTAAAAATGTCCTGGTCAATTTTCCATTTTTAAAAATGTTATCATGAAAGGAAAAAATCAGGTTGACATTGAAATTACCAAGTACAATAAATGCCAGAAGAAGGTGAAGTAGCATTTATCTTTTTGAGAAGAATACATTATGATACAAAAATGTAACACCAGGTAAAGAACAACAAAAGTCATTTTCAGATGTATAAGGATTCCAGCAGGGACTGGTACAATCACCTATATACTGATCGACAGAGAAAACTTTAGTGAAATGTTTTCAGGCATGTTTTCTGATGATAATGCAATAAAATTAAAAATTACTAGTCAAGGACAAAAAGTAAAAAAGAATGTCATTTTTGATCCAGATAACTCTTAGATCAAAGAGAAAATAAAAATGAAGTAATGAGATAACAAATCTCAAGTAATTGAGATAAAGTAATGTCTGTGAGAACACTGTAAAGAAAAATGTATGGCATATAAACATATAAACTAAGAATCTGAAAAGCTTTTTATCTTAAAACCAAATAAAAATAAATGTAAATATCTGAAAAATTTTTTAAATTAGTTACAGAGAAAAATTAATAAAGACAAAAGCGTAAATTAACAAATTTAACACAGGTAAAATGATTAAACCCAAAAATATATTTTGTGAAAAGACCAGAGAAATATATAAATCTCTGGCAAGTCTAATAAAAAAGGTGGAGAGAACCAAAAAATACCATGTTAGAAATGAGAAAGGAATATAATCACATATATAGGGAAGAAAAATGTAAACCATTATATGCAATAAGTGTGATCAACTGACTTAGAAAGAAGTGCCTGACTAGACCAGTACTCATGGCTGAAATGAAATAGTGATTAAAAACATAAACAGGCTGTGTGCAGTGGCTCACACTTGTAATCCCAGCACTTTGGGAAGCCAAGGCAGGCAGATCACTTGAGGTCAGGAGTTTGCGACCAGTCTGACCAACATGGCGAAACCCCATCTCTACTAATAATACAAAAATTAACTGAGCGTGGTGGCAGGTGCCTGTAGTCCCAGCTACTCAGGAGGCTGAAGCACAAGAATAGCTTGAACCCAGCAGGTGGAAGTTGCAGTGAGCTGAGATCACACCACTGCACTCTAACCTGGGCAACAGAGCAAGACTCTGTCTAAAAAGGATGGGGGGAGTCCCATACATAAACAACAAAACTACTCCTTTTTAAAAGTCAAAATAATTTTACAGGCAGTTTCTTTCAACTCTCGAAGGAGCAGATGGTTGCCAACTATTTAAACTATTCCTAGTTTATTTAATAAAGATAGTATAACCATGGATATTAATTTCATTTATAAGCTTAAATGAGAAATTCTAAATCAAACATGATCAAACTCAGCCCACCAATATATTAAAGAAAAATTCACCATACTCAAGTATTGTTCTCCCCCAGAGTGCAAGGATAGTTTAACAAAGATAGTTTAACATTAGAAAGTCCTTAATGTAGCTGGTCATATTTATTTGTAGTTGATCACATTAAAGGAGAAAAATTATATAATAATTTCAAGAAAATCTAAAAAGAAATTTTTATAAAATATGACATTCTGGCATTAGCTCTTCCCTTTGCTTTTCTCTCAGATCTTTGCAAGGCTGCCTCTTTAAAATTTAGGTATCACATTAAATATTATCTCCACATTATCTGAACTAGAATTTCTGTTCACTATCTCATTACCCTATTTTTCTTTTTTTTACAGAACTTGTCACTTTCTGAGGTTATCTATTTCATTTTCTTTTGTTTGCTTATCTTCATCTCCTTTCCTCCCATCCCCCTCCTTCCTCCCATATACACTAGAATAAAAACCTGTCAGAGCAGGAACTTACTTGTCTTATTTACCAGTGAATTCTGTGCCTAGCACAGGATGTTTTTTGAGCAGCTCAAGTGATTTGTTTTTTAAACAAGTGATTTGTTTTAAAAACACTGTGTGTAAACTAGAAGTAGAATAAAGCACAACCACTAGCCAATTCATACTTAGTGGTAAAGTAAATAGAGATGTTCTCATTAAGATCAGACACAAAACAAGGCTACTGGCTATTACCACTATTGTTTAATATTATTTGTAATATTCTACCCATCATAATAAGGCAAGAACATAGAACAAATTTGAAATACTGGCAAAGAGAATTAGCATTATTTGTAGATAATATAGAACCTATATGAATCAGTTGGAAATTACTTGAACTAAGAAATGAATATTTAGATGTCCAGCTCCAAAATAAATGTTAAGCAACTAACAGCTATTTCTATAATGACAATATGCAATTAGAAAATACCATGTAATGCATAATATTTAAAAAAATAGGAATTCAATAAGAAACATGCAGGACAAATATGAAAAAGACTGTAAGAATTTACTGAATAATTAAAAAGACAACTTGAATTAAAGGGCTCCTGAGTGAAAGACTAACTATAGCTAAGAGATGAATTATAGCCAAGAGATGAATTCTCTCCAACTAAAGCTATTCATTTAATGTAATAATAATAAAAACTACCAATGGCAGTTTTTTAGTTTAACAAAATTTTATTAAAATTGATCTAGAAGAATGTGTACGTGAGGGCATCTAAGAATAAAAGGGAAAATAATTATTTTCAGTAATGGATGAACATGTTCTATCATGTATTTAAAACTTTTCAAGCTATAATAATAAAAACAATGTGGTACAGGTAGGGTACAGATAGGTCACACGGTAAACTAGGAAACCTAGAAAAATCATCCAGATATATTCAAGATTTACAATGTGATAAAGGTGACACTTCAAATCAGTGAGTAAAGAATAGATTGGTTAATATATAATGCTCAGATAATCTAATAGTTGTTTAGAAAAGGTAAACTTAGAGCCTTAGAGCTCTACTCGCCAAACTCAAAATGTGTTACAAGTAGAATTTTAAGATACTGACTAAAATGTAGATGAATATTTACTTACCTATAGAATAGAAAATAATTTTCTAAGTATGATACAAAAGGCAAAAAAAAAAAAGAATTGATAATTTGGCTACGCAACACTGAAAACAGCTATATCATCATAGGCAAACAAAAAATAAAAACACTCAACTGTAAGCAATAATGGAATATGAAAAAATACAAAAAAGAAAAAGACCTGCATTATACGTAACAAAGGTAATATGTATGTAGTATATACACACACATATATATAATATGACTTAATATGTAGATATTTTATGGATTAATAATTGAAAATGAATATCTGCCATCACCAAGAAATTGACAAAAGCAGTACAAATGGTCAAAAAACATTATTAGACTATAAATTTAAATGAGAATGAGGTGCAGTAATTCACCTATGCTGTTTGTAAAAATGTAAAACTAAGTATTAGTAAAACAGCAGAGAACAGCCTCTCTCCTACACTTTATGCAGTGATTCTCAAACTTTTCTATTGCAACCACATAAGAAGTACATTTCATGTTGTGATCCTATATACACACACACACACACACACCCCAGAAATTTCCTTAACACTTACTTGTACTTACTGTATGTGGTATACTTTGACAACACTTACTTGGTACTTACTGTATGTGGTATACTTTGACATTGTCTCTTCTTTCCCACTTGATACTTCAAAAAATTCTACTTGCTAGTTACAACCGACTAAATGGGTCATGATCTGCAGTTTGAAAAATACTACTTTATGAAGAGCAGTTTGACAAGCACATAAGTTGTGCCTAGCCTGTGACCTAGAAATTTAAGTCCCAAGATTTGTTCCCATGAAGTAAAAATGGACATATCCTACTCTTTAGTTAAAACAAAAAATAGTATGCCAAATACACAGGGTTCATAACTGTAAAAAATTGCAAACCATCTAAATGTCTGACAATAGGGAACTGACTGAATAAATTATGGTGCATTCATATCATGAAATACTTTGCAGTCATTCAGAATAATGATGAAGTTTTTTTAATGATATAGAAAGATAGTCATAATATTTTAAGTGTATAAAGCAAATTGCAAACAATATATGCAATTGTGATCCCTTTTTTGTGTTGAGACTATTTTCTTTTACTTCCATATATTTTCATAATTTTAACAGTGTTTATGAAATACTTTCATATTAAACTGATTTTTTTTTAAAAAATAATAGTTATAAAGGTCAGGAACTTGCTTTAGAAATTGATTGACTTCACATTGTGTTGTATGCATTTAGACAAGAGAACCGTTCCTTGTCAGCTTAATATATTTTAGCTTGCCCAGGGCTTTAACTTATATTCATTCCATTTGTTTCTTTCAAAAAGAAAGAATGCAACCCATCAAGATGCGTCAGCAGGGCAGGTTTCATCTCCATTTTACTGATGATTCAGATGGACATGAGAAATATTAAATAACTAATCTGTAACCACATGACTAGTAACTGAGAAAACCAGGATGAGGACTTCTGATGCCTCTGTAGGCCTTCCTGTGTTATTATTTCTTCATTTGCAAAATGAAGATAATGAAATATGCAGAAGGTAAATCTCATTTTAAATCTCAACTTATTGAGCATCAGTTCTTTGTCTACAAAATGAGCATAAAAATACATAGCCTCTTGTGTTGTTGCAAAGGTTAAATAAGGTAATATGTGTGACGGTACCTGGAGAGAGTTTAATAAATATTAGTCTTGTTTTATTCCTTCCAAAGTAAGCACAAGATCAAGAATAGGGAATCTAAAAGTAGAAAACCCCTTTTTTTTCCTTTTTCAGTTACATATTTTAAATTTTTTTTTTTTTTTTTTCAAAAACAGAGTCTGGCGTTTGGTCCCCAGGCTAGAGTGCAGTGACGCGATCTCTGCTCACAGCAACCTCCTGGCCTCCCGGGTTCAAGCAGTTCTCGTGCCTCAGCCTCCTGAGTAGCTGGGATTACAAGACATGTGCCAGCACGCCTGGCTAATTTTTGTAATTGTAGTAGAGACAGGGTTTCACCATGTTGACCAGTCTGGTCTCAAAACTCTTGGACCTCAAGTGACTCCACTGGCCTCAGCCTCCTAAAGTGCTGGGGTTACAGGTGTGAACAACCACCCAGCCACATATTTTAAAATTAAGTGATCGTATTACCATTTACAAAGGCCAAATAAAAATAAAACATCTCAGCGTAATCTTAAAAAAATATCCAAGATCCATATAAGAGGAACTATAAAATACTCTTGAAAAAACAAAAGTGTAACTTGAACAAATGGAAAGACACTACATTCTTATGTACGGATGACTCAACTTCTAATTATGTCTGTTCTCCCTACTTATATCGTTGAAACAATCCCAATAAAACACTATCAGCCTTTTTCTGGATCTAGGTAAGTTTTTCTAAGGTTCAGTAGAAAGAATAAGGCAAAATTAGTCATTACAAATGAAGGAAAAGAAGAGAAATGAGCCATTAGCTATAGCCATTAAACATACTAAAGGGCCTCCATTAAAGCAGTATAGTATTGGGTGACTGAATTAGATAAAGACCAGCAGAACAGCATTAAAAATCTAGAAATAGACTCACTTGATGTTAATATTTTAGTAGATGATAAAGGCAGCATTTCAATCAATGCGGAAAGTTTAGCTTTTTGTGGATAACTGGATAGCCATATAGAAAAAGATAAATAGGATCCACTCCTTGACTGTACCATTTATTCCTATCAGGATTTGTGCAAATCCCCAAATTTGACAATATAGTTGTTGTAATAATGCTGTGGAAACACAGATAATCTCACTTGTAACTTCTGGAATACAAACTGGCACAACTACAGAGGGGGATTTGGCAATATTTCACAAAACTGTATAAGCATTTACCTTTTGTTCCAACAATACAATTTTTTAGGAATTTATCACAAAGGTATGCTGGCAAAAATACAAAAGAACGGGAAACAAGGCTAACAAAGCTGTACATTATTTATGTATTTGTGAAGGCAAAGACTAGAAGCAACCCAACACTTGTCAAATAAGGGGACTGATTGTATAAACTGTAGCATGTCACACATCAGAGTAATATACTACTATGCAAGAAATGAGGAATGAGCAATATTTCCATACAATACTACTGAAGAGATGGTCAGATTCTATTGTGAAGTGAAAAAGCAAAGATGATGGAATACACACACATGTTTGGTTATTTAAAAATGGAGGATAGGCTGAGGCCAGGCGGGAAATACAAAAAAAAAATTAGCCGGTGTGGTGGCGGGCGCCTGTAGTCCCAGCTAGTCTGGAGGCTGAGGCAGGAGAATAGTGTGAACCCGGGAGGCGGAGCTTGCAGTGAGCTGAGATCCTGCCAATGCACTCCAGCCTGGGTGACAGACGAGACTCCGTCTCAAAAAAATAAATAAACTATAAAGCAAAAAAAAAAAAATAAGTTTACTATAATGACTTACGAATATTTTACATAAAATAATATTACACTTTTAAAAGCAATTGCTGAAACAGAGGAGTATAATGAATTAACCCGTATATCCAGTGATGGCAAAACTATGTAGAGAAGAACTATTCCAGGTGACTTTAAATATGTAATTTGGCTAAAAATCTCTAGTAGGATCTACCCTAAGGACAAAAAGATTGGCAAACAAATCTTAAACTGTTTTTAGTAATCATATTGTTGATTGTAGTGTTGTAATTGTGATTCTGAGACTGTTGTATGTGTATTATAAGATGAATCAAGTGAATATGTTGGTGTCATTAAAAAAATAAGATTTTTCAGTGCAGTTTAAGGCAGATACAAATATAAGATTGGTGCAGTCAATAACAAACCAAAAAATCTGTAGACTCAAATTTGAATAGAAAGTATTAGTATGAAATCATGATGAATTCATCTGAAAAGTCTTTTCCCATGTTCTTCCACTGAAAAGGCCCCGAAACAATTGTTTGCCCAATAGCAACAAGCAACTCTAGTGCCCACATTGTGGTTCCAAAAATGATTCCTCACCAAAAAAACAAACAAACAAACAAAAAACAGGGCTTTTGGGAACAAATGGTTCCAGTTCTGGCTCAGAAAATGTGCAAAATTAACCTGGTGTCTCATTATACTAGAAAGCAAAGAATCTTCAGACTACTATGATGTAAAAATAAAGGAATCAACCTGAACACGTCCTTCGGTGTCAAAAAGGATACTTTGAACGTCAGTAGGAATAATGGCAGTGAATCGTAACACACCAAATATGCTTAAATCCGTGAGTGCACAATGCTACTTAAAAGTAAAAAAATTATTTAGAGGCTTTTGAAGAATGCTAGAGGAGAGTGATTAATTTGAAAACTTGTAAATACAAGGAATGAATCAAGTATTTGTCATACCCTTTCTGTATACTGTGTACCTCAGGGTAACCAAATAATTCATTAAGAAGTTTCTGTTTATAGAGAAGTATGCCAGCTAATAAAGAAAGGAAGATGGAATTAGAATATTACCATTATGCAACCCTGATTAGTTTATGAATCTAGGAAACCATCATCAGTGCTGATAACATCTCCAGTTAAGGGCCAACTACAAATTATGTACTCCCTGATGGAAGTGCCCAGTACCACATTTGAAGCAGTCTTGAAAGAAAAAAAAAAAAAATCTGAATTAGATCAAACTTTTAGATCTAACTACTAGTTATAGGAAATAGAAGCAGAGAGAAAGAAACATGATTTAGCGACCGCCAACATTTTTGGCACCAGGGACCGGTTTCACGGAAGACAATTTTTCTACAAAACATTGGGAAAGGGGAGTGGTTTCTGGGTGAAACTATTCTACCTCAGATCATCAGGCATAGATTCTGATAAGGAACGTGCAACCTAGATCCCTCACATGCATAGTTCACAATAGGGTTTGTGCTCGTATGAGAATCTAGTGCCGCCACTGATGTGACAGGAGGCAGAGCTCAGGCAATAATGCTTGCTTACCTGCTGCTTACTTCCTGCTGTGCTCCTAACAGACACCTAACAGGCTCACCTCCTGCTGTGTGGCCCATGGGTGTGTGTGCGGGGCGTGTTGGGGACCCCTGTGTTAAATGATACCATACGATAAAATAAATAAAATCAAGACATGGGAAACTTCTACCAGACCGATGACTCTTGCAACAGAAAAACTGCAAGTAAACAATCTTAGGAAACATATAAATTGATTGTAATATGTGTAATTGTTTGGATACTGATCCAAACAACAGACCTAATAAGTCAATTGGAGAAATGTGAACATTGATTGGCTATTTGATAACTTTAAAGAGTTATGATGTGTGTGGTTATTATTTTAAGGTGTGATCATTGTGGGCATTTTTAAAGAAGTCCTTATCTTTTAAAGGTATATACTAAAGTATTTTTGGAGATAATGATGAAGTTAGATATTTCTATTTCTGTCAAAGGATCATTTTCAAAGAGATTGAACAATTTTTTTTCCCCCAATTGCACTTACCTGTCTCCCATTTGCATGTAAACTTCCTTTCCTGCATATTTTCATTGGCCCAATAAGCCCAGTGAATATATCTTTAGTGGGATCCACAGCAGAATAATACATCTTAGCTAGACACACAGGATCTGCATAAGTGGGTCCTACTTCTTCGGGGACAGTCCATTCATAGGTGAATGTTTCTGTGGGTGCCACATGGGAGGCTGAAGGAGGCACACCTGTGAGAAAGGTCACAGTAGAGAGGTGAAGTGTGCTTTCTAATATGGTCATTTGAGCCACAAAGTAGACTAAGTTTAGTCTAAAATAACCCACTTTTGAGTTCTTTGTTATAAATTGGAATGGAATCCCACTTATGCTCTGGTGTCAGATAACAGACTGATGTGATTGCATCCAGACAGACTCTTCTAAACCTTCTCCTGGGATTGGTGTCCCTCTTTGTGCTCACACATCTTCCGGGAATGTCCCTAGCACCTTTCATGTTATTTTGTGTGTATTTCTCTCGAACAGAGCTTAACTTTCTTGAAGGCAAGTGCTGACTCTATATTTCTATCAGCTAGAACAGTGCCTGGCAATACAGTGTAATCAATGCATTGTCTATTGAATAAAATGGAACTGAAAATAATTGTAGAACTGAAAGGAACTTTGCAGGTGATCCTATTTAAATCTCTCAAATTTACAATCGAGAGAACTGAAGCCAGAAAGATTGAATAACCTGCTCACAGTCATACTGCAAGTGGTAGCAAAGTCTCCAGTCTTCACTGGTCCTTCTTGATATGTGAAAATTGTGAAAAAGTCCACATGATGAAATATTTTATAGCGTTCAAATTATGTTTCTAAAACCCTTGTAATGCTAAAAGAACAAACTCTGATTATGAAATTAAAATAACATTTATTTGCTATGATCTCAACCATATTTAAAATATATATTATATGTATACAGATGAAAGTGGAAGAATTATATAAAAATATGAGTGATTGTTTATAGAACTATAGATAATTAATATTTTGGGCTACACCTTTCTAAATTCTTCAAATATTCTAAAGTTAACATGGTACAGTCTTATAAGAACTTTTTTAAAAATTAAAAATCACCCAGAGTACTCCAGAAATGTATAATTGATACAACCCAACTAAATTACTCTCAGGATTGTCAATAATCATCCAATTAAGGCAGGACAAAATTCCATGAACCAATTGGAGGTAGGAGAAGGGGTTTATTTGTTTCCTGGCATGATGCCTAGAAATGATATATGAGCAGTTTCCCTGGGAGTTCCTGCCTTCAGTTTTTGCAGGACACTGTAAGTGACCAGTACAGTGGGTTATTAAACATTGTTGATTTGTTACAGTGCTGTACTCACTTCCGCTCTGGGGGTTGTAATGTGAGGAATAGTATGTGCCCTCGTTGTTCTTATTGAATCTCACCCCAGTCGGCTCAATACTGAGAGGGTATGCTCCTTTGTTATGGAATGTTACTCTGATGGTGTCTCCCACCTCTGCCCAAATGACAGGACCTGGGAACAAAGAGAGAATTATTATCCTTCCTTGGTATATAACATGCAGAATGTTTAAGACAGTTACCTTCTTTGACTGTGTTCTCTGGCAAGAACTACTAGGAGCATCATGCTTATTTGTGGTGAATGGAAAGCTTGGTTTTTGAAAAATCCATAATCAATCTGATATGTCAAGGTTGGAAGGAGAGAAGGGCTTTTTAATTCAACTTCAGATTAATGAAATTGATTATCATTTTTGTACAAGTCAGTTAGTAAGTTTACACATCTACAAAAACTATTCAGAATGTTGACACTCCTCAGCCTAATCTTCTGTTGGCTGGAGGTGTGTCATTTGTACCAAGAATTAGGTGCTATAAACTTTGACCACCCAAAGCAGGTAAGTTGAATTGTTTTGGATGTGAAGGATAACACTGTTTTGGATTTTCCATTACCAAAATTAATGATTACCAATTATAGAATAAAAATATATATTTTACATAAATATTTTATGTAATATACAAAATGACATTTATTGAGAGCTTCCTATCTGTTTTTCTGAGTGTTTATGTCTATTAACTCATTTAATCCCTATACCAACTTGAGTAACTATTGTTCCCATTTTATAGAAGGGAGCAGGGACAGACAGTGAGTAATTTTCTTTTTTTCTTTTTTCTTTATTTTGAGAGGGAGTATCATTCTGTTGCCTAGGCTGGAGTGCAGTGCCATGATCTCCACTAACTGCAACCTCTGCCTCCCAAGTTCAAGCGATTCTTCTGCCTCAGCCTCCCGAGTAGCTGGGATTACAGGCGGAGGCCCTTCAATTTTGTACTTTTTTTTTTTTTTTTTTTTAGTAGACGATGGGGGTTTCGCCGTTTGCCGCTGTCTCGAACTCCTGCCACCTAATATCGGCCCTCCTCCGCCCCCCAAATGCTGGGAATATAGGTTGAGCCACGCCCGCCGCCCCGGCCAACTGTCAGTAACTTTCAAAAGGCACGCAGCTAATGTATCATTGGGTACCACAAAAAAAACGCTTTTTATAAGACCTCCAAATTTTGTAAATACCTGTTCAAAAAGTATTAACCTCTGAAGTCCACTGCTAGAAAAATAAAATGCAAGAGCCAAGCAACTGAACCATACTCCTGTTGCTCCCACTAAGCTTTCTGCCTGAGTGCCTGCAGAACAGGTCTCTGGACTGCCCTAGGGGCAGCCCGCAGGAGCGGCCTCTAGCGGACAGACCTGCTTGTCCTTACTATAGCCCTGGTTTTAATTTATTTATTTATTTATTTATTTACTTATTTATTTATTTATTTATTGAAACGGGGTCCCGCTGGCACCTAGGCCTGAGTGCGGTGGCAGGAATCCTCGGATCACTGCAAGCCCCACCTCCCGGTCACGCATTAAATACTGCCCTCCAACTCCAGCCTCCCCAGTAACTGGGACTCACAGGCCGCCTGCCACCCACGCTGCCGCTTCATTTCACTTGCATTTTTAGTAAGAATGGGTTTTCACCGTGGTACCCAGGGTGGCGTCTTGATCTCCTGACCCTTGTGATGCTGCCACTCCGGCCTCCCAAAGTCTGAGATACAGGCGCTGAGCCACTTGATCCGGCCTAGCCGGATGTTTAGTTAACTAAAGGAAACACATCTTTAAGTGCGAGGCTCACAACTAGATTATCTATAATCAAGTCACATAAACCATAACACATTCCCCTTCCTCCTTTGAAGAAAAAAAATAACCATTTGAAGTCAGGTTCCAGCATGGTGTTTGTGTGTGGTGTGTGTGTGTGTTGTGTGGTGCGCGCGCGGCGGCGCGCGTGTTTTTTTTTGTTCCTTTTTTTTTTTAGATGTAGCTTGTTCTGCCTCCCCAGCTGGAGTGCGGTGCAGATCTTGACTCACTGCAGCCTCTGCCTCCCGATTCAAGCAATTCTCATGCCCAGCATGGAGGCACAGATACTGGGGAGTTACAGGTACCTGCCACCCAGGCCCTGCTAATTTTTGTATTTTTAGTAAAGATGGGTTTCGCCCAATGTGTCCAGCTGGTCCAACTCCTGACCCAAGTGATCTCCCCCCTCGCTCCGCTAAAATGCTGAGATTACAGGCCA